ACCTTCGACAGAAACAGGCTTAGTATGATGGGCCATCCACTGTGTGACCGGCTGGGGCTTAGAGGATAGAAACAGAAAACAACACAGAACCACAGAACCATTAGGAAAGAAAGAAAAAAAAAACTAACCAGCTTTAATGGCATAAACACCTCAGTGACTGAGCCTGGAAATGATGGCTTTTGCCCATCGCCTACTAAGCTATTTCTTTGTGCAAAAACTACAAACGATGCAATATTTGTTTGTTATGGGTTGCTAAGGCTGTAGGTATGTGTACGTAAATAAAAAAAATAGAATATGATTATCTGTAATGTTTTATAATGATGTTTCACTTCAAGTTAGTCTAAACTTTTTGAAAGTGACTGGAAATGGAAGTAATGGGACTTAAATTATCTGTCTACTTAAAGCTTTGCTGAGTCATCTTCTAGTTACCGAAACACTTATTTCCCATATTCTCCAATCTATTGTATATTTCCTCATTTCCTTGTTTTTACATTCTGGTAATTTATGTATTTTTTGTTTCTGTCAGGGCATAGATTATTAAAAGTTATTGAAAGTTTTGGAGAGGCTCCCACAGATCAAACATTGCTGTGTAAGCTGAGAGCTTCTATAGCAGGAAATTGGATTTAATCCAAAGTAGAAGCTGTGTTTCCTTTGCACTGTTTGCTGCAGTCCTGCTTTTCCATAATCCTCATTTAAAGCAAGTTATTGTTTCAGCTCTCAGTCGCTTCTCTAATTTCCTTGTGCATTGCAGTTCTGGACAGGAATGTGCAGCAACAGCAAAAATAATACCATGAATAGTGAATTATTTGGTACAGCAAACATTCAGAAATAAAATCCTCTTTTGCATTAGAATTACCAAGTGATTATGGAAAAGCAGCACTTTGCGTGTTTGTACACACTGAGTATATTCACATTCATTATTGGCGTGAAGCTCAGGTTACCGACATGGGAGCGTCCTTTGTTTTCAGGCCAGAGTGCCTCCTGATGACAGGTGTTATTCTTTGGGATGCTGAGGTTGCTCTGTGATCAGCTGCCAAGCTGTGAGGAAGTCGCTCTCTAATTATCCGCGGTCCATCGAAGCCTGTGGAGACCTATTCATACCTTAGGTGGTAATTGTTACACAAGTGTGTTAATGGCCCGAACTGTTCGGAGGGAGGTCTCTTTCACTGTGCAATTTGCCCGTTACAGCCATGAGGAAGGGTGACGGGTATGAGAATGGCAGAAGGTTAAAGCACTTATGGCAATATGTGTCTGTTATGTTATGTGACATTTTTCAGCTTAGTCTGGCTGCAATCTTTCCGTCCAATTTTCTGCATTGTGGACAGACCATTACCAAACATCTCTGCAGAAGTTTTCAGCAAAGCACAGCAGTCTTCTTTAATTTCAATGCATTTATTTTGTATATTAATGGATAATGTTTCTGTATTGACACAGATGTTGTCTGGCCAAGATGCAACTCAATAGTCATTGCTGCAATACCTTGTAGAATTACTCAAATCATATGTTAGGTATTTTTCTTGTAGGGTTTGGATTCAGGAGGGTTATGCTGTCAATGTGAAAACACTCACTAGCCTCTCAACCTCTAATATTTTACCTTCCAGCAATAAAACCTCTTTTGTTCTAACAGTATTATGAAGACTTTTGTACTTGAAATGATTCCAGTCATAAATTACGAGCATACATTTTAAGAAGGTAAAAGAATATATGTTAAAATTTTACTTTTCTAGGAAAAATGGTCCAAATTAATAGGAATAGTGATGTACACATTATTGTAATCAATTTTTTTTTAGCTGATGTCCAAAAAGGATATTTTCCTTTTACTATACCATTTTAGAATTCAAAAATCAAAATCCTAATAAGTTATACTGACATTTTTGGCTTTAAAGTTGCAAAAATGTGAAAATGTTAAAAGCATATCTTTGGAAAAGTAGAGAGGATGTGATTGGAATCGTTTTTCTACTGTTAAAGAAGAAAAGAAAAATCTTCTCTGCATTTTTTAAAACTGGAAGAGGAAAAAACAATATCCTTTAGATCATAAGAATCTAAGGATGTTCAGCTGCAGTGGAGAATATGTACAGTAAAATATATGAGAACCTTCAGTAAGCATCTTGTTTACTGCTGAAGCTTAGAATAAATGAGCAGCAGTTAAATTTAAGTAAAGACGATAGCATAGTGAAGAATAGCAGATGATCAGGCTCTAACGCTGCAGGAAAATAAATGATCGACAGCTGAAGACAGAGGCAAAGATATATTTCTTTTTTCTGATGAAATAACCTGAAGATTGTTGGAACATCTGGTGAAATATTTGTTCCCTGAAGTAACTACATGTAGGCCTGTATCATCCAAGAAGCAAAATATTTTTATATAGAGAGCATGCTTGCTTGCAATGTTAAATCCTAAAATTAATCATAAATGAGGATTTTGCAGCATAAAAAAATTACAAAACAAAACCAATGAAAAATGATAAAGAGGTGGCTTCAATTTGGGGAAAAAAAAAACATTCTCAAAACTGAACATAAACCAGCATTTTTAGATATTTTTTTCTTTTCCTGGTTGTTTTTGTACTGAGTTGCTTTACTTTCTAAAACTAGGATGCATTTTCATTCCTATCTGTGCAGTATGCAGATGAAACACTGGAGGCTTGTGACCTGGAGGTGAATTAATCAACCAATTCACACAGGACAGAGAATCAGTGAAGTAGAATAATATTGAACTTTTCATGGTGGCAGCCCATCACAGAAGAGGACATTGTGTAATTATAAGCCGACTATCGGAACCATTGGATTCTGAATCCTGCACCAATGAGATAAAAAAAAGGGAAAATCCCCATAAGTAAATATTGGCTTTTATATATATAAATATGTCTTTCTATAACTTGACCAAAGCAATAGTAAAGGCAAGAGCATGTTTATGGGGCAAGATATAAACATTCACAAACACACATTATATCATTCATGTTAGGATTAAATGCAAGATACAAGATAGAACATAGTGATGTCGTATAAGAAATAATATTTCTTATAATAAATATAATTTAGTAAACACAGTAATTACATTTACTAAAAATGTATTGACATAAAGATTTTTTTATACATTACCAAAGCTAATAATTTAGATTATGTGTTTTGGTTATCTTTAATCCAACTAATCCAACTTTTTTTTAAATAGCACAAAGTATTTGCAGCAATGTAAATAGTTTCTAATGTTTTTTTACTTTTTTCATTCAGAATGAGAGCTTTAAAATATTATGTCATCCAACTTTTTTTAAATCCTTTTTCTAATCCTTAAAGCAAAAAGCACATAAGTTTAGCTAAATACATATGTTTATATATTTTCCACAATCACAAAATTCATTATAAACATAATGTCACAGCAATGAGCCAATAACAAGTGAATTTCATCTCTTCTATGCGCTGCTAACATAGTCTGTTCTGATCAAGATCTTACCCATGGTAAAATGTTGAATACTTGAAGTGGCTCCAATTAATAGAAGCCTGACCTACTTTCTGATTAATTCAGCTAACCATTTGTCTAGTTGGGTGAACTCAGTATTTCTCTTAGTTAATACATAGCTGCAGTATTGCTTTTTGACAGCCATCTTAGATTAGGCTTAATTTTAATCTACAGGAGAAAACCTATTATTAGTTTTGGACACATTTTAGTCATCACGGTATGTGATAGCTTTAGTTGGTTTTAGTCGACTAAAGTTGTTCCATTTGTGCGTCACTCATCTCAGATGCGTAGTTGTGATTTCACATAAGATGGCAGTAAAATTGCAGAAAAGAATAAAAATATATTCAGAGGTGTCAAGTAAGGAAGTACAAATAATTCGTTACTGTACTTAATTACACTTTTTAGGTATCTATACTTCACTCCATACTTATTTTTCTTCTTATTTCTGACTTCTACTCATTTAATTTTCACACAAGATCCGTACTTTCTATTCTTTACACTCAAAAACGTTCTTTACACTCAATAACGTTACTTGTTGCTTGTGGCTGCGGTTTAATGTTTATAAATATTTGTTTCACGTCATGTGCGCAATCCAATGCAGATCATTGGCGCCATCCACATCTAGTGAAATCTAGTGTAATTCGATGAGTCATATAACGCAAACACTCATTGGTTAGCTAATGGAAATCATCAGAAGCAAGCAGGTGTTCTTCAAACTGCAAACGAGAATTGTCTATGCCATGCTACAATGTTGGATTCAGAAGATGTTGAAATGTCTGAAAGGTCGGACACAGGCGAGAACATATCAGGAGATGGAGACCAACAAGACCTCCCTCATCCTTGGCCCTATCTCAAAGAATTTTTAGTAATAGTCAAAAAATGTAGCTTTCAATTCATATAGTGGCATCTGGCTATTTTTGTAAAGGCTACTTTATACTTTTATACTTAAAGTAGTTTTTAGAGCACATACTTTTTTACTTATACTTGAGCAAAGAGGTCAAGTTGATAGTTCAACTTTAACCAGAGCTTTTTTAAACTGCAGTATCTATGCTTCTACTTAAGTAACAAATGTGTGTACGTTTGACACCACTGCAAATATTAAAGTGGAGCAAAAAAGGATAATATAACGGCAATTCATTGCAGAAAGTTAAATCGGCCTCGCCTAAGAAGTATTGGCCCCTTGAGGTTTGACGGCCTACCAGTGGGCTCACAATGTTTAACGAGTTGATTCGTTGAATGATTCTTTATGGAACTGGCATAATATGTGCTGATGAATGACCACATCCACCATCGGACTGTTTAAGAATCAGCTATGATCTGAAGTGACTCTTTAAGACCTCTGCAACTTTTTCATGATATGGTAGCTATATATTATCCTTTAAATATCAATAGCAGCCAGCCTAGCATCTTTTAGGATGCATGTCATACATGTTTGCATTGAAATTTTATTAACATCCTACCAAGGTCAAAAAAATGACTGATATGTTCAAAACCTCCTTTGACGAAAAAGCAGAGATGTTTTAATAATAAGTGTCCTTCTCCATCAGGGCTTTCTGAGTCGACGGCTGAAAGGCTCCATAAAACGGACCAAAAGTCAACCAAAGCTCGATCGGAACTCCAGTTTCAGACACATCCTGCCTGGCTTTAGGAGCGTAGACAATGACAGGTAAGGCATCATTCCTTCGGCTAATGCTGCATTAGAAGTTTATGTACATTATCCCCCATGTTTACATAGTGTATGTGTGTTACACTGATATTGTTTTGTAATATTTTTACTAGATAGATGACTAGCAGACGCTATATCATGATGAAAATGTTGGAGATCTTAATGTCAGTTATTAAAAGGTCTTTGCTTTGACTTTTAAAACATTCCAGAGCATCACAGACACAAAACATTTACTCAACAAGAGTGGTATTTTGGGAGCGGAGAGCTTTCATCTCAAAATAGCTGCAGCAGGGTTTAGATGATTGGATAAAATTGTGTCACACTGTCACATTAAAGGGAAACGCTTTGTTCAAAGAAATAGTCTGTCAGAGCAAAGAACATCACCAACCTGACAGTTGGAAATACTCATGTTGCAACGAATAAACAATTCAATTACACAGCTTAATGAAAAAAAAAATATACTGTAGTCAATGAGAAAGACAGGAAGGTGAAGAATATGTGGAACACATATAGCATACATCATTTTCCTTAAGATACAAAAGGATATGTAAGTTGTTAACAAGCATTCAAGATATCAGTGCAAGTACAATCACTATGGAGGAAAGAGTTGATTAGATCAAGTCACTGATTCTGAAGTGATTCATCATCTTAAGCATATGGCAACATTCTGGAGAAACAATTTTGAAAGAGGATGAAATCTTCAGCAGATCCTGGCTCAGTTTTGGCAGCTGAGAGCCAGCAGAGCTTTGAAAGACATTAGCTCTGCCCAGGAAAGAGTTTAATATAACTTACCTGCTTAGCTGAGATTAAGTTTACTTCTTTATCTTATTTAGCCACAAAATATCTAATGACAACTGGCTTGTTCAGACGGGTTAGATGAACATGTTTGTTTCTGTTGAATGTATCTCTTTTAACCCTTTAAAGCCTGATCCAAGAATAAAATAAAACAGAAAATTACTTTTTTTTTTTTTGGTTTGAATTCCTTATTTGCCCTTTTAACAAAATATGTAAAAAGAAAAAAAAACAGAAATACATTTTTGATATCAATAATGTATTACGATGCGATAAGTCAAGATTATTTTTTCTGTAGTCTTCTGCCCTCTGTTATCAGGTATATCTGATTGTGTACAATAGGATTTTGAGCAAATTTTTTACCATTAAATTATGCAAAAGGTGTCAGATGCAATACTTTTCAGAAACCGTATGTATCAAATATGATACATTTGGCATTACAGGGTTAAAAGCAATCCCTGCCTATAATAATAATCCACCAAACCTCCCCTGTATTTTGTAAAATTATAAGTAAAATATACATCATCAAACTTCATAAATAGTCATTAAACTGTATTAAATATGTGCTGAAATGTGCCTAATTTCATGAATATGATGCATATTAATCAGTTGTTTATTGCACTCTTTGGCAGTAGGAAGCTACCTGTCATTTTCTATGAGAAATCCTTGTTTAGGTTTGAACCTCGGTCTATTGAGGTAAGCAGCGAGAAAGTAGAGCCCTGATTGGATGACAGGCCCAATACATCACTTCCTGTGAGGCTAAACCTCTTAGGGGGTCTATGGAGCAGGGGTGGTTTCCTCAAGCTGACTGCTTGATGCTAATTGGCAATCATACTTAAGGACTTTTGACTGACAGCAAGGAGGTTTTCCTCATGAGTCAAGAGGGAAAAGTGATCATTTGGTCAGAACAGTCATCCTGTGCTGAAGTCCTGCTGTGGTTTCTAGAGTTTCTATTCCAGAGAGCTCAACAACTGCTATTTTCACCCGTTGTAGTAATGTGTTTTATGTGTTTCATCATTTGTTAAGGTAATACATGATGTTTTGATTTAAATAACAGCACTAAGCCTCCCCTGGTTCAGAGAGCTGCAGCTGGTCCATGTTGATATTAAAGTGGATAATTGTGAATAATCCAGCATTGTTCACTTTATGGGAATGATTTCGCTGCTATCTTTACAAATTTTAACCAAATGTGTTTCATCTGCAAGTTAGGGTCAGATGCTTCCATTGTGGACAGTAAAAGGTCAAATACTGATAAAAACTAGTTTTAGAACTGATAAAACATTAAGCCTACAGTTCTGTTTAAAAAGTGTCATCCCACCTACAGATTTCAACTGTTTTTGCATATATCACACTTATAATATTAGGCTTTTACTATCAGAGAAAGATAACCAGAGTAAATACAAAATGTTGTTTAACTGATTATTTAATTTATAAAGAAAATTAATCAACACAATGGCTCTGTGTTGGAAAATGAACGAGGATATTTATCCTTCAGTTTGTGACCTTTGTGTATCTAAAATACACGAGCATCCACCTCCTAATGGCAGCAGTTAAAACTAAACTAATAGAATGTTTTTGAGTGGCCATGAAATGATTCAGGGATGAATCTGTTGTTGAACTATAATTTATTTTACAGGTTATTAAAGCTTGAAAAACCTTCCTCAAACATCCTTCTAGTCATTTCAAATACCTTTTTTAAACAATCCCACGTAGATTTTGAATTTTTTGTATTTCTCTTTATTTGATCAGGGGCAATTAAAAAAATAAAGACACTGATCTAACAAAAGAAGAGATGTTATATGCCAGGTTATAGCAAAAATGCTAATTTCCACTTACAGTCCGTGGACAGGTTGATGTTATACTTACAAAAGATCGATTCTTTTTTTTCTGTACAGTAACAACTATAATCAGAAACTTAAAACTACACTTCATATTTCCTCCATTGTAAATTATCTTAAACTTCAAAGCCCCAAACAGAACAGAAAAAGAAATAAAGCAACTCCAACCCGTCGAATGAATGATTGCTGTTTCTGACAGCAATAGTGGTCAGATAGCAGTACAGAAAAATGCTGAAAACAGCCATTGAAATCTGCCACTTTAAATTGAAATTAACCAGATATGATGGCAGGTGTATACTGTAGATATTTTAAAGCATGTCTGTCTAATTTTGACCCATTCTATGACAATTTTGCTTCTCCTTTAGTAAATGTCATGTTTTTTCTGCAAGATTCTGCAATCCCCCCATTTCCAGAGAGCATAAGATTGAGTTTTGTAATATTGTTCTGCTCTGTCGAGCCTTTTCCTCTATAGCTACCATTTAATAGCGTTTCGCCCCCGGCTGTGATTACAGACAGTTTATGCTAACTTCTGCTAATTTGTGCAGGTGCTCAGCTGCTTGGCAAGCATTTCCCCCCCAGGCTGCATATCGAAACTAATCCAAATACAAAACCAAGCAATTGCTGCTCTGTAACCACACTTCCTGCTTACGGTGTCCAGGGGTCTCTTTTCATGCGTGCACAGCTAACAGCTGACCCACCTAGCACCCGCCTTCTTCTGTCTTTGGGAAAAACGCCAAGGTGTCCATATGTGGGGTTTAATTAAAGGAAGAGCAGGGTTTGAAGGAGATGTTCTGTTGCTTTTATTTCAAAACTTGCAGATGAATTATTGCCTCGGTTCCTACTTTTAATGAGGCATTAACATCACTGTCAAGCTATCACAAGGGAATACTAGCCGTTGTTAAGAGTGGAACACAGTGGACTTTTCTATCCTTTAGTTTGACCGAATGAGCTCACCTCCTTTCCTTTTTCCTGATGTCCCTCCGTACCCTCCTTACCAATTTCTGCTTATTCTTCTCTTTTTCTTTTATATTTCAAATTTGATATATTTCAGATTCATTAACCTCCAGTTTAAACCTCTGTTCTTGTTTTTCTTTTCTTCAAGCAGTTATTAAAATGTCCAAAATATCAACATTTAAGTGAGTTTTTAATGAACCACAAGCAGAAAAGGGAAAATGTAGTAGAAGATGGAATTTTATGGAGGTTTCTTGCCTCTTTTATCATCGAAAAACATACAACACACTCAAACTTCATCTACAAAAAGGAAACATACATCATAGCAGCTGTCTTTATAAATGCATGGCTCCATGATGTAGAACAAGAGAAAAAATGCAAGCCTGGTGTAATGAAGAATGAACAACAAGTGATGAACAACTAAATAAGTAAAATTTGAAGAAGATGCAGAGTTACAGAGGGCTGTATGAGACGAGGCAGGGATACGCTCTGCCAGCCTGGGAGCAGCCTCGCTGCAGGGCATAAAACACTGCAGAAGGTGACAGATTCTAAAAAAACCTGGAAATATAAAGATGATGAGATATGGGAGGAAAAGGAAAGGAGTAGAGAAGGAATCTCATAATGCGAGAGTCCACATTTGTGCAAATATGCAGCCTTGACTGTGAAGGATGTGGCCCTAAATTATGTATCTGCAATCATTTTATTCTAATTGTTTTGCACGAAGATGAACACAGAGCCTCAGGTGTCATCTCAAAGACATTTTTGACTGTGTGTTGTGCTTCGACGCAATGATATTCTCCAGCCAGGTTGCCTGGAGGAGGCTCAAAAAGCAGACGTGCTGCAGAGGAGCAGCAGCTGGACACAGAATGAAAAATTAATCTGTATTAATCAGAGACTGGACACACTGCAGGCCCTTCTATTTGCAGAAAAACAAAGCAGCAACAGATTAAATGTAGCTAAAAACCAAATGGTAAATCCTCTCCATTTGGATGATTACTGGACATTTTTTTTTTTTGTAGGATTTTTCAGATGTAGTTTTTTTGTAACTACATTTCTATACATGATAATAACTTTACAGTCCTGCCAGTCTTACAATGGTAAGGACGTTTATCTACATCCCCAAACATCTGAATAAACCCCTTATAATATATTAGGCTCTTGTACAAATCTAAAAAAACTATGTATAAAAGCGTGTTCATAACGGACTAATGCTGCTTTAACAGAAGCCCTTGTGCACCGTGAAGCATTAAGTCCTATTATTACATTTGAACGAATGCTATTCATAAGCTACTCAAGGTATCAGGGCCAAACAAACACTGTCTGGGAGTATTTTGTGTAGTATATATTTGAATTCTGTGCAGTCCTCCCCAAGCAGTGAAAGTCATTTTCTTGGCTTTTGTGACAATCCCCTAAGAATAC